GAAGACATAGATATCACAAACTCTGTGATGGCCTGAATTCTATACTGTGTTCTTTTAAACCCTCTTCCCAAAAGCAACTAACTATCCAGATAGAAGACTGAATGTGCACAGAAGCAGAGAGTTCCAGGTTAAAAGAAAAGCTGCTAGCCAGGGGCGCAGAAATAAAGAAATTCTAGTTGGGTCAGGACACTCAGGAGAGTGTTTTAATGCCTACATATTTTATAAGCTTTCTTCAGAATTCTGGTAGGTGATACTAATTCTTATTCCCACTTCTGCTCTGAACTAAAGACTAGCAGACAGAAGGCTCCTCCTGATGAGCACTGCTTTTTCTTCCACTAATAGAGGCTGTTGTTGCCACATCCAGATTTCGATTAACAATTTTAAAACTGGATCATTACACCAAATATTCTACAACAGCAGCAATTCACTTCTATTCAGATGAAAATGGGTAAGATAAAATTAAGTGCAGCAGTAGCTACAGCTAACAAAGCAGTACAATGACATCTCTATTATGCTATGCTTAAAGAGTTTCAAGTTAAGAAAAAAAAGTTGACTAATGAAAGGATGGGGAGAGGTTTTTGTTTGTTTTTTTCCTCCTTGGCCTTTGATGTGATGGATACCATCAGAAAGAGATATGAAAAGCTACTGGGGAAAACATGCACTAAGAGAGAGTTAAAAAAGCTCTCCCTTTCAAATTAAGGTAAGTTTAAAAAAATAGCTGTTAATAATTAAGCTCTTCATCTGTTATTGTTTATGAGACCAAGCTCCATTTAACACACAGCTGGTTAATTAAAAAGCATTTTCCTTGCAAGCAGAACTGAGTATTACCTATTTACTGCCAAGTACTGGTTTGGGATATTCAAAAGTATCTTTAAAAAGTACTAGACAATGGAAAACGTACAACAGAGGCCCCTAGCTTTATAAATACCTAGCAGGCCCATAAAACAAGCAAGCCTACAGTATGGGTATATAGTATGTAATGTAACTGATGATGACACCACACTGCAATCATTGCTGTTATTCCACATTTCCAATTTAATTTCCACATGCACTTCCACATAAGAAATTTTCAAAAATCAAGTTACGTCTCTCAACAGCTGCCAAGTTTGTTACTACTTGTGATTGCTTTCAGTTCTTACGTATTTTGTTGACAGCCTGTTACACCTCATTGTGGCAATGCTACAAAACATTTTTTCCTCCTTTTGATGTTAAAAGGTTATAGAACAGATTGTGATTTTTCTTCACCTCTATCGTATGTGTACAAAATACTGTCCCAATAAAACTTGTTAAAATGCAGATTCAATGTTGACATTCTATCTATGACTTCGTTATGGAGAAGGTCAGATTTGCTTGCCAATTATCTTTTCTGTTCGTAAAATGCAACAGTCAAACCAGCTATGAAAATTCACATCCAATAGTTAATTGATAACTGTAGCAAAATCCTATCAATCTGCTTAAGACAAAGTGTGCCTTTACTGATGCCACCAAATATAATTTTTCTTTCTGCAGGGTTAATCACATGGAGAACAAGTCCTGTATTTATGCAAACCTATAAAAAGAAACAAGAGGAAAGCAGCAGAGGACTTGGAGCAATAAATGCACACTAAGCAAAACCTGAGATAAAATAGCTAACTGTTACCATTAATCCTATGATGTATCTAGTTGATATTTATAATTACATGTCGCAATGTTTCCCTGAGGTTAACCAACATATACCAGGAAAGACTAAATAAGCATTCACATCCATCATATGTAGCCTCCATTCGCTTTATAAAAATCACCAGTTAGTACTAGTTGTCCTATTTGGGACAAAAGCTGTAAAAGCTTTTATTCCCCATCAACTACTTACTTTCTTTGCCTGAAGAAAAATACTTCATAGTCAATTACCATGTAGCCATTTCTGCAAAAGCAGCAATTGGGTTTTTTTTTCTACTAGGAGTACTTATACTGCTTATAGTGCAGTATGGAATATAAAAGGCACCATTTCACAGATCTGGAGTTTCCCCATAGAACACCCCTTTTCCTTCAGAAACCCTCAAGTTAATATCAAAATGATACACTGATAAGAGAGTTAAATTTATCCATGACAATTTAAGATCAGCATTTAAAATTGCTTCTTTTACAGAAGCAGACAAATGAATAATTGGCATCTATTGAACAGAAAAGGTATTTACAGTATTTACATATTAATTTCTCTTTCTATATTTTGCTGTCTGCTTGGGCAAATACAATGTTTTATATGCAGCAGAGATAAAGAAGTCAGAGGCATACAACAATTTGTAGCATAGAGCTACAATTGACTTCACTGTGGAAAATGGTATGTACCACAAGGCTACAATTACAATGGGGTTTATTAATGAACTTGTCCACTATAAACAAAGAATGCAGTTTACAGGTTTGCTGCTTTTCCTGTGAACAAGACCCAAAAAACAAACTTCTGTAGAAACAGGACCAGCTGACAAGAATACATACCTTGCCTCAAGAGCGTTCATCATAAAATACTAGTGCTATACAAGTCAAACCACTTGTTTCCTAAACAGATTCTTTTTCTGGTTTTCACAGGACTGAATGTATTTGAGCAGGTACATTTCTGGTAAAGTGTATTTCTAGTTGCAAACAGTAGGTTACTAAATAGTTTTCACCTGCCAGGATGATGCAGTTTGTATCTCATCAACTGTGTCAGCTGTTCAGTATCAGCTAATCATAATCTATTATCCGTTGCCACCTCTAGAAAGGACTGAATTTACCTAAAAATTATCTTTATGTGCTACTACAACAGTAGTAATAAAAAGACCTACCAAAGTTGAACACGTCTACAGAGCTAACTAGGATATAGTTTGCTTTTTTCTCTGGCTCATTACCTGACTAACAACTTCCAGAAGACGTGAACACATTTCACATAACATTGCATATAGCCAGTTAGCTCATTTTCCATTGGTCAGATACCTTTACGAAATCCATCAGCAGCCTTCTCTCACACCTCAACTGGTGTAGATTATGGCAGTAACCACAACAGCTGATGTGGTGTATTTTAAATGCAGGTCCAAAGCAATGGGAACAAAACCTCTCATAGACATCGTGTGACAGAGGAGGGAAAAAAAAAAAAAAGTATTTCCATAAAAAAAATTGCATTTGCTGCATACAGTGGCACAAAGTATACCCCTCCACAAGCTCGAGGCTGGTGTTTTTCAGTATAGCAATGGAAGGTTCACCCTACCTTGCAGTAATCAAATTCACTTCTGGACTTCAGTGTGGAGAGATGGGAAAGAGGCAGAAGAATAGAAGGTGTCCTGTTCAATAAAGCAGAAACTTTCAAAAGTTACTATGGAACTCGCAGAGAAGCATAGAAAGTTTGGGTTGCTTTTTTTAGTATTTGAATACTAGGAACTCCACCTGGTGGTGGGATGTTCACTCCAAAGGTTAGAGCAAATTGAAGAGTATTCAGAATGTTACAGGATACAAAATAATGCTTAAAAGACATGGAAATATTTATACTATGTAAACATTCAAATATAAACAGAAAATTAAATCAATTTTACATTGTGGTTTAATGCAGTTTAAGCCAGCATTACTGTCAAAAGAAGCAGTCTCCCTAATCCTCATCCACCTGCATAATCCTTGGCTGCCCCCCCATCACTTTCTGCTGGCACCAGGTTGCAACGCCACCATGTAGTTCACCAGAAAAGGGAATTTATCCAAGATGAAGTTCATGTTAAAAAGTCTTAAACTTGTCATGGGACTCATGCTAGAAAAAAGCTCAAATCAACTTCTAAGATTCTGGCCATGCATTTAAAAATACTTCCAGACTAAGATGAAGATCACCGTTTACAGTATTTCTAAATTTCTGTTTGTTATTATATGCCATGCTTAAACTGCTCAGCCTGGTAGCTGTATGATGTAGCAAAAGGTAGTCCAGTAAGAATTAACATATGAGCAAAGATGATGCAGAAAGTTATGCAACAGAATTTGAGTAACATGAAACATGTTACCCATCATTTAGAATAAGTATTTACAAGTCAATTCCCACCATTCCGCTTACATGGACACTTCACCAGCCTCAAAGCCTATCAGTTCAACACTCATTCAACTTTACCTCAGTTCTAGGAAGAAACAAATTTCAAAAGCTTTACCTGATAACATCTTAAACAGAGATACTTTATTCAAAGGTTTTGCAGACATTAGATTAATGCAGGAAGGACAGAAAAACTTTCCACATTGACAAAATTACCATTGTTTTCCATACAAATGTAGACTAGACCCCTAGAAGTGAGTTTTTTTCCTACAAATAGTAAACAAGCAAGACAATCCATATTCCAACAGCCTTCTATTTGTTAAAAAAATCATGTAAGAAAATTTAAGCTGGTTACACTATCTTAACAACACAGCTAACACGTTTAACATGAATCCTCCTCCATAATAAGAAATCTAAATAAAGGAAAGGAAAACTAAGGAGTTTTACTGCATCCTTCATGTTCTGAGTTCTTACAGGATCAGTTAGGCTATGTTTTTTTTTTGGACTGTGCTGTAGAAAAAAAAAGTCTACAGTATAAAAGAGTTCATAGTATCGAAAATGCCTTCCCCTTCTTCAACAGCACCTAAATATAAAGAGTTCAACAACAACTGGCTAGTCTAGAGTGGTGTAGTCCAAGAAAATCAATCCCCAAAACACAGTGGAATATTTCTATTCCAGCAAGGTTTCAATAAAAATATCGATCCCCAAAACAGTGGAACATTTCTATTCCAGCAAGGTTTCAATAGAAAGACTGGCATATAAATTTGAGGGAGAGGGACATTTTTCAAACAGTATGTTGTTCAGAGTCAACAACTCGCGTCCTGCAAGAAAGTTAGATACTTCTTATAAAACTTCCTTTTCAGTGGCAAAGGAATTAAGGCCATCAGACTTGCAGCTTAAAAATTCACATACAGAAAATAGAAAAATACGTTGTGCTTCTGAGAAGGCTCTGTTCTGTAGGCAAGGAGGAACCTGGCTGACTGGAAGTTTACATGACCACACAGCTTCTGTTAGATGTCCTTGTGCTTGCCTGTTATGAACAGAAAGAGTCATCTTTGAAAAAAAATATCCAGCAGTAAGAGATTTAGCAATAAAATATACTAACAAATATAAAATATAAAAATATAAATACTAACAAATATAAATATATACTAATATAATAAATATAAACTATAATATACAGCACATCTTTAATATATTAAATTATTAGCCTGGCATGGTCTAAGCAAGAGTCACAATGCAAAGCTGAACAACCTCTTATCCCCTATAAGTAAACAAATGCTAGATATCCTTTCCTGTGAGAGGTAATGGAGGACAGGTACCAGAAAAACACAAATAATTATCGTATTTTAATCTCAAGTCAAAAAGCACCACTGAGTTTAGACAGGTGGCGAGTACTTCAGGGAGCATATAAAAGTACCTTGAGAGTTTTTATCTGAAGAAATCTAAACTCTCTATAACATTTTTGTAACTAAAGCTACTAAGACATGCACTGTAGCAGAACTACACAATGGCAGAAACCACAAAAGCAGCTGGATGCACTTCAGTACTTTTGTGTAACTGCAATAAAAACCTGACTCTATATTAAATGCCACAAATTTGAGATTCAGTTATAGGCCAAAAACCACGATTACCAAAAAATAGTTTCCAACACAGCCAGCTCTTTCCTTTTTTTGTCTGCTTACGCACACTTAACTACTGTTCTGTATAGTCTTTTCTAACTGGCTTTTAGGATATATACTAACAGAAACAAAGTTTTAGGCAAAGTAGCAAACTTGAACATTGCAGTACAAGAGCCTATGTTTGTTACGTTTTGAGGTTTTTTTTGTTTTGGAGTTTTGTTGGGTTTTTATCCAGTTCTTCAAAAAACAAAACAAAAACAGTAAGGTAATGGATAAAAGTCAGAATGTGAACAATCAAGTATGTTATATCTCGGTATTCTCCCTTATATTTAAAAACATTTTATATTGTCACAGCAAGTTCACACCTTTCCACTGCTTTCACAGTTGCATTTCTTCAGCATGCATGAGACATTTTCTCTGATAGTGTCTTCAAATCTCTCATTTTGCTTATCAGAGAAAAACCCTATCAGAGAAAATGAGAGATTTAAGTTCTCAAAACTTTAGGAAAATTTAGGCGTGCCTGCTTAAGCCAAACTTTACCATAAACACTTGGCCTGGAAGAAATCTCACCAGGAGCAGAGTTTAAAGAAAAAAACCCAAAACACAAACCCTTTAAGCTTTAAAACCTTGTTTTAAGAAAAATCTACTTATCTACACCTAGGGAATACATGATGTAATATTTTTCAATACTGGTTTTAATAACACAGGTGTATGCTTTCATTAAATTACTGACTAAACAAAACAAAAGAATACCCAAACAGGTATGACATTTTTCAAAAAATTCATTACTTATATATTCATTTTTCCAACCTAAATAGTCTTGTTAGCCTAAAAACAAGATACCTGCTGGTGGTGAAGGCCTTCTTCCTCCAGAGCTTCAGCTACTTCTTCCTCAACTTCTTCCTCTTCCCCTTCAGGGACAGTTGTCTTAAAGACAGTGCTTCTTTGAGCAACCTCCTGCAACAGAGTTTTATTTTTAAGACTTGACTACTCTGAAGATCTGGTGCTAATCTACTTAAGATTTTGAGAAATAGGAGTTCCAGCTGTTGGGAAAGCTACTTGTACTCATTCTCTCTATACGCTTTTCATGTACTGCGCATTAACAGCATTCCTAACACCTTTGTTTTAAATCTGTTAATGGTAAAAAGAGAGACACTCAATTCTTCCAAAATCGGCTTTTTAAATATATTTAAATATTTTTTCAATTGCAAGATGTCACAGTGACTGTCCTACCCGAAGCTTTAAATCTCACCAGAATTAATGCCTCATTGCTTAAAATGATTTTCACTGTAACATTCCCCACTGCCCATAAACACATAGTTTTAAGGAAAACTAATTAAAGACATAAACCACTGAAGATTTAACTAAAATCTTTTCTTTTCAAAGCATATTCTAAAGCACTGCCCAATTCCTGGCATGAGGGCAGTGCCTCAACAAGTCATTCTTCAACCACTTCTACTCAACATATGGAAAAAAATTCACATGTTTCAATAGAGCACATTGCAGTTGAGGGGTACAGTATGCTTGGCTGGAAAGCAAAAGGAGAAAACTTTAGTAAAAGCTCATGTGCATTCATGTGTAAAGTCCTAACAATGGTTCCACCTGCATCTTTATAGGGGATGGCACCACAGAAAGACAAGTTTAAGCACATCTGAGGTACTTTACCTCTCCCTGAGAATTTTTCAGCACAACTTTCACATCTTTACTAGTGCCCCAAGAATTCTGGTTTTTCCAGATGAGGTCAGTGGGAGGGTTAGCAGTTACTCCAGCATCTGCAGCCCAGATCTGTTAAAAGAAGTCACACATGAGCTAGTCTTACACATTTCCATGTTATTTACAGAGTTAATTTATTCCATTTAAGTGACACCAGTGAATCTCCTCCAGTTAAGAAAATGTAAGTCTCTGTCTACCTACTTCCAAAGTTGCTTACAATAAAACACCCCTATGTTTTTTCATGCAGAGACTTTTGAACATGTAAATACACCTGCTTATGGTCAAAATTATTGTTCCATATAGAAAGTAAGTTTCTGAAAAATGTGGCTCTGTCCAGCTTCTTCCCAGCAATAGATAAAACTAATGCCCAATACAAATGCAGGTGATTGTTTTCTGGACACATACATAAAAAGGACAAAAATTAAAACCGATGCATCTCATTGACATAAACACAAGTTGGCCTTAAGCCCATTTCAACGGAACAGTTGAAGCTTGACAACTTACTGTAACAGTTTGGCCTGCCTTTAGTATATATCTTGAGGTATATTTGTAACTAGCAGAAGTGTCCCCTATTTTTCGGATCATCTCCCAACCTCCCATAGGCTGATCCTAATAAAAAGAAGAAAAGTAATTTCCATCAGCAGTCATTTTCTGTTACATGTGTAGGGTGTTTTACATATAAGGCCATGAGGCACATAAGATTTTCAGCAAAAATGTTTATCACTTGGTTTTCAGCCTGCAATTAGAATAATTGTAGTTAAATTTGTCTTACCTCTTATTTCAAGTTAAAGCTTAATACCTCCTGCTTTTCCATTCTGATGTTCTATTAACTAATGTTTACAATTTGCATCAGTTTTGTTATAGCTGGGTCCAGAAAAATACATGAATAAATATTAAAAAACCCTTACAAATATATAGTACATTTTCTGGAGCACAGAATGACAAGCAAACTCCTTCAAAAACAAAATATTCCTGTCAGTCTCCTCAAAAATGTGTTTCTACTCCTTTGCAAGACCTACATTATTTTTCCTTTCAATTATGTTTTGCCTATCAACTACTTGAAAAACACTAGCAAATCTAATAGGAAACATTATACAAGTTATCATTACAGAATGACTATTTCAAAACAAGACTAAGTCTTTTTTTAAATTCTCCCGCCAGTGTCCAAACATTAAACAGTTGCCACTGGAGCCTGAAAACAGACAGTTAAGATAATCTAAAATAAGCTATGTTATATATCTTAATGGATGCTGACATGCCGTTGGTCATTGTAACAAAACATACCATACTTCATGAGGATTTTATCTATTTTCTATGTATTTTTAATACCTGTAGTGTATTTTATATATTTGTATATTATTATATTTTTATATTGTATTTTTTGTATAGTATATGTAAATAAATATAAGAACTGTCAAAACACTTGTGAAAATTCCACAAGTATAGCTTATTACATTGCAACTACAGTTGCTCAGATCTAGACCCCTGGCAAAGTGCTATACCATGACCCATCCACGGCTACTGGTAACAGAACTGATGGTCCTTCCATGGAACAATGAATGTGTAGTTAAATGAAATAAGGGGGTCAGGGGGGAAGGGGTGGAACACGACCCATGTGGTACACAAAGTGTGTGGGGAAAAAATCCCATAAGCCTGAAAAACTTAAAAAGGTAAAAAACGGCAAGTCCTGACTCACTAGAAGTAGTCTTTGATTTATCTGAATTTAGTCATCTAAATGCTTAGGTGTCTAGACCAAGACAGTTGTCAAGGTTTCTTTCATTCAGTAAATGAAGTCGGCACTCTCAGCCAACACTCAGGGCAGGTAATTAATGATACATATGTAACACCATCTGGAGAATTCTGTCCATCTCTTCATTGATGAGAGGGGAATTGAGACCCTTGGAACCTGACTAATCTTCATCATCTAAAACATCGAGATGAGCTGCCTTTTAGTGAAGGTAAAGGATCTGATCACATTAGACACAGCCTACGTGTCACTGAAAACAAAGAATGCAGCGAACACACTTCTACACACACCTGAGGCCCAGACAGCATAGGCAAAGGCAAGAATTACTTAGACCTCCTCTGAAATCAAGGCTGAAAGAAATTAGCTCTTGTAATTCTGGTGACCTAATGAGACAATGCTCAATTCTCTCTTCTCCCAGACAAAGGATTTAAGAAATTATAATCCCCAGCCTGCAACTCCTCCTGTGAGGACTCATAGAACTGTATATAGCATAGGACTTTTTTTCTTAAGCAGAAATTACTGGTAATATTGGAAGGGGAAGAGGGGATAGGGGGGAACTGTACTGAATATAACAGCATCATTCTGAGGGCAACATAAGGAAAAGTTTTGATTATCACTCAAATGAAGTATCTTTGATGAACAGATATGCTTGCTCCCCCCAATACAAACTCCAACCTATTCCTAGAATGAAATAATCCATCATAAAGGTGGCTTTGGCATGGGAACTGAGGGCTCCTAAAACCTGTGGATGCAGCCAAAGAAGAAGGAAAACTATGATTTATAGAAGCTATATGCAAGTACAAGGGACATGGGCAATTAATTACATGTAGACATTTATTTTGCATCAGTATTTCTTTTGGGGCTTTTTAAGGCAGAGAAAATTCTTAAAAGGCTTCTAAAGTAGCTTAGTATCTGCTTGTACTACTTACTATCAGTGACAATGTTATCTGTAAAACTTTACAGGCAGATTGCTTGCAAGGCAGAACTTTGAAGAGTGATGTAACACTTTGCTGGGTGGGCAACATAGCATTAGAGCAATTGCTATGAAAAGCATTAAATAACATTAGGAAGTCATCATCAAGCCAGAATACTGTATGAAAGCTTATTCTGTGACACGCTATTTTCTTAGTGCCATCTCCTACACAGTATGCTTTAGCTGCAGGGTCAACATGAAGCCTGAGGGCTGAAAGGGTGCTGAGGATGCCTTCTACCTCTAATCAGCCCATTGTAAAGTCATGATAGGTGTGCATTTTCAAACCTGTTCAGAGGTGTTCTTCAAGCGGATGAATTTTCCATCAGCATCTATCTCCTCAATAGTGACATTTCCAGTGGCAGAAGCTGAGTGGGAAATGCTAACACTACTGCTGGCTTCAGATTCCTCCACATCAATCCTCCTCCTCTTCCCTCTGGTGCTTGTACACGCACTACGGCTTGATGAAGCCCGTGAAACTGTCACTCGGGAAGATGGGCTTGGAGAAAGTTTCAACCTATATTGAAGAAAGGAAGGAATATGCATACATGACACTTTTTTTTTTTAAATAAACTTTCTTCTCTTCTTCCCATAGAATTATACAGCAAAAAGATACAGGAATACAGTTAAAGCATGTTATGTGAAAAAGTGAAACCTTAAGTACTTTTTGAAGAATTGGATAAAACATTGTCAAACTGCTGATTAATACTTTTGAAGCATAGAATACTGATGGACTACTACATTAAATTCATAAAAGGCATCTCTATGCATTTGTTAAAGCATTCCTGGATAGATGGAACAAGTAAAGAAAAAATTCTTAGGGGGATTTAAGCCATTGTAGGAAACTTACGCAAAAAAACAATGGCACAAGAGTTTTTGCTCTTTCAGCCCCAAGCTTGAGAGGAATCAGCCAGGACCAGTAGGATGTCATTCAGAGAACAGTGAAGTATCAAACTCCTTTAAATAACAGCTGTAAATGATCAGGCACAAATTCTCAGTATTGCTGAACTCTGAGGTCATACAGCTAGCTGATAAGCTGGGCAATCATAACAGCTATTACTTTACTAAAATTAGTCTATTATAAAAGAAATTTGGCTAACAATTAGATAACCCTGTAAATTAACTCTGAAAAAGAATATTAACCATAGCACTAAATAGATCTACAAATGGCAATTCATTATGTCCTCAGTGCTGAATCTTAATAGAAAAATGGTATTTATTCCCTTCAGAGCTATTGGTCTGATAATCAAGTAGCTTGGTCTCATGGAGACCAAGTAGAAGCAAGTGTGTCAGACAGGAGGGAGCAAAAACAAACAGTGCCTTGGAAACTGTAGTAAGGCACCTAATGAATGCATTCCGAGTAAGAACTGCCTTTTACCACAGAATGAGACAAGTAAGGGAAACACACAGATACCAGCATTTCTTGTTACTTTCTTTCATACCTCTCCTCTTCACCCTCCAGCAATTTCTGGTACGCGCTGATTTCCATATCAAGTGCCAGTTTAACATCCAGAAGTTCTTCATAGTCACACAGCTGCTCCTGAATCTTATTTCTCATGTCTGCCATTTCCTTCTCTTTCTCAGACAGTATTTTGTGACAGTTTTCCCGTTCCTTGGCCAAGCTTTCCTCAAGCTCTTGCGCTCTCTCTTGCCATGCTTTAGACTAGAAAGCATTGAAAACATCAGTGGTGCAAAGCAAAGCTCACCCAAACCTCCATACACTCTGCTATTCAGCAGAGATGGAAGACATCTGAATTGAGACTTGCCCATATTCAACTTCCTGTTCTCCATCTCATCTATTACAAACATAACACCTTAAGTTCCAATGAAACTTACAACATGCTTTGGAAGACAACTATCTGCTCCATTTTCCTGAGATCTGAAGATATGTTACTACACCTGAATTCACTGAGTTGAGAAAAATTCAGCATAAGAGTCAAACCGTTTAAGACATGCTGGACAGGACACAGAATCAAAGTGCAGCTCAGTGTACTTCATATCCTGTGGTAAGTAATTGCTCTTTAGCTTTCAGATGTCTACTTCCTGCTTCAGCTTACTGCTGCCAAATCTGAATTCTGGGAGGAAATTCGTCTAAAGGAATAGGGGTTGTCGTCAGTGAAAGCTTATCTGCCTGTTAGCAAAGCCTTCACGGCTTGCTGAGAGTGGAGTGGCAAGTGTTCCATGAAGCAAGCTGATCTGTCACATACTTTAAAAATCACATAAAGCCAGTAGAACTTAATATTGTATATACAGAATGAAATGCTTATCAAAGAAAGGCCAAATCATGACAGATTTAAGGTTTACTTTCCCTGAGCATGCTTTCTTCTGTCTGATAGTGTCTTGAGATTATTTTTTTTTTTTAAATTAAAGGACAGACACAGGAACCAATGCCCCACGATCACCTCATCTAGTTAAGTCACCAAGTTTGCTATGCAGGCACTCTACTTCAGAAGTCATCATAGTCCAGAGACAATGAAAACAGGCAGTCTAAAAGGTTGACGCAGAGGACCAGTGTAACTGGTTGTAAGTGTTAGAAGTCAGATAAGGAATGTAATAAAAGGAGTTGAGTGTCACATGGAAAATCCCAGTGGAAACTGCTACAGAGCTCAGTGTTGGTAACTCAAACCAGACTAACATAAGAGATCTCTTCTTCTAAGAGAACAAAGCTGAAGTCAGTGCTAGCAAATGGAAACCAAAACTACTAGTTGACATCACTAGACCAAAAAAAAAAAAAATCCCATAGCAGGAAAATGAGGGGTTTGGTGGACAATTACAGTAAAACTGGCAGAAGCTGATTTTGATAGCTTTGAAGTTAACAACTAACACCCCTGCAAATTCAGAAGCAAGTTTTCTGAATCTAGCTGTCACTCCCAAGGAAGCAACAGAACACAGGTAGTTAACTAAAGTAAAAAGGAAAAAAACCCTCAGAAAATGCCTGTTGCATGTACCACCAAAAGAAAGATGATGATAATCTAAACATAGAAATAAGATCTAAGTAGACAAAACTCTCAATCCAATTCTTGTGTAGCCTCATGCACATCCATTACATCACGTTATCTCTTTCAGAGACTAACTTGCCTATATAACAGGAAAAATGGAAAGACTCATACTAGTATCTGCCAAGTTATTTGGAAAATTCTGAAATAACATCCACTGCATTTATATTCTTCACTTGAAATACACAGAACTTTGAAGTCCTACAAAAATATACTGTACAGGAGGAATACAATTCAAAATGTATCGCAGAAAGGATCAAAGCCACATATCACTAATATTTTATATTTTTTAAAAAAATAGATGTTTTACTGCATTTTCAGCTGATTAGTAAGTTACAAAAGCCCACTCCAGAACTAACTCCTAACTTTTCTCATTTTCACTCTAGATTTTCCACTGCAGTGCACATGACGTTACTCCCATCAAATAAGCTAGTACTGAACATATACCTTGTCATAGGTTGTGTCATACTTCTTCAGGTGTCATCTATGTGCTCTGTGATCTGACTAAGTATAATTAGTTTCTGCTCAAGGCCCTGCCCTCCAAATGCTCAAGTACAGTTATCTGATGTTTTCTCAGTCTCATATTTCATCCTAATCCTGCTAGGATCACTCAATTATTTATTATCTTTTTTCTTTTTTAGAGTTCTAGATGCAAACTGGATCAAGGATGAAAAGAGACACCAAATAGAGAAAGACTGCATATTCCAGCTCTAGCTTTGAATGCTGGTTTGTGGAATCCTATGCTAGGCTGTCCAATTACTACAGAACAGAACTAAATTGCTTAGAATGTCAAGAACTTTTAAACACAGAGCTCTTGTCTAAAATTGTCCCATCTAATTGCAAAAGTCAGTTAACAGTACTACCTTTCAAATACTCTATCTGTAGCAGGATATTGCACAAGGGGAAAAAAAAAAATCAACTTTGTTGAAAGGAGACATTAACGAATTTGGAAAAGTACAGAACAGTAGAACACAAGACTAATTCAAGTCATGATGCTGAACATACTTACCAGTTAAGGGGAAAAAAGTCCTTTAATATAAAAATCAACAACTATAACTAGCCAGACTGAAGAGTCACAAACAGCTTGTTACCTCTTTCTGAAGGCTGGTGAGAAGGGAAGACAGATTATCAAGTCGTATGTGACTTTCATTCAGTTGTTCTCTTACTGAGTTGGCTGCAGAATTGCTCATCTCAGAGGACAGTCTAGCATTCTCAAGCTGCAGTAGAACAAGTTGAGACATCAGTTTCAAAGTAACTTTTATCAAAAGAAAAATGAGTCACTAAAAACCACATGCAACACTACGCCACAAAGTTCCTCTCTGCAGCTCTAACATAATGAAATATCTCTTTCTTTAGGGGTTAAATATAGTGCCTCATTTACCATGCTGGATTGCGCTACCTGAAATCGCAATCCTCCGAATATTTATTCTAGGATTGAAAACTTACATCTCCCTTGTAAAAATTACTGAAGTTGGACTGCTAAGTTCAGTCTTCATGCTGGCCAATGCTTAGCTTTATATATTTAATTACTGTAGCACTGGTTTTCAGTATGCTTAAATAGAAGCTAAAGTGAAAATACCAATTCTCTAAAAACAAGCAAGCTTATGTTAATTTTCAGCCAACGTAAGCAAATTGGTAACATGCCTTCAGATTACAGTACCAGTGCCACGAGTCACTACTGGTTCATTGTATCACAACTTCAAGCTCAAGTAATTTAATTTTTTGAAACTGGCTACATCATTCTTGCTGAATACTATGACATCCACTTGGGCAGCACCGTAGACTTATTGAACTTGTAGGTACAGATGAAATGGAATCTAAAAAAAAAACTTTTTTAAAATAACAAGAGTCCAAAAATACAGAAAGAGTATACCTGAATAGAGAGAACAAGAACGTCTCAGTTATGAAAAGATGTTTACAATAAAAAAATATGAAAAATATTTTTGGCTAGATCTTTAAGTTTTTCCTGAGTCAGACAGAAGGCCTGAAGATGAGCAACTGCACACTGTTCAGACTGAAAAGACTGAAAACTATGCTAATAAATTCAGTTTCTATCAACTTTCCTGCTGTACCATCCCACCTTGTTTTTAAAAATACTAGCTGCAACAAGTATAGCCACAGAAAACAGTTTCAGGTAAGACATCAGGATCCCTCCTGACACAAACGATGAATCATAGTAGAGGAAGGAAATTATGAAGTATAACTGATTTCAGCTTAAGTATGCTTCCTCTCTAGAAGAGTGAAAAGCAAAAATCATTGGGTATGATGGAACTTCCACATTTTGTACAAGGTCAGAGGACTCAGGATGTTGTCTTCTCTGCAAGCCCTGTTACGAAATAAGTTTTATACAAAATATGGGACACCTTATTGATCATCAAGACTATGTTACAGCTGATAAGTAACAGCACATGAAATTTCCTTGAATTCATAGTAAGCCAAGTACTAATCACTTTTTCCTCCACCGCTCACCTACACGCAGTGCTTCCTACTCTTATATTATTGTACTTTGGGGATTAAACCTGCTCCCAAAATGAGACCTGAAAATGCAAATTCATATTCAAAACGATGATAATTTTAAACCAAGCTCCATAATAAAATCCTCTGAAATGCAAGTAATCAGGGTATCTTTCCATTGAATAAAACAAAAATAAAGTACATCAGACAACTGTAAGAAAAGATGTTCTCACTCTGGCATGGTAAGTGTGTTCAAGCTCTTGTTGGTACAGCTTCACTTGTTCAGCATGCTGCTCTCTGATTTCATTAAGAGCTTGGGCCAGTCTACGTTCATACTCAACTTGATGCCCAGAATCAACTTCAACTAAGCGAGTTTCATATTTCCTTCTTGCTTCGTTGATTTCCTAAGAAAAACACAAAAATAAAACAACATTCAGAAAATGAGACAAAAGTTTTAGAAGACTATCCACTGAGCAAATAGCTAGCTAAAATCTGCATTGCTTTGCAGATGAGCATTTCATTAGTTTGTTTTACATTGAAACTTTCAGTAGGAACACAGGGCCATTTCCTCAGTCTGATTTGCATAATACCTTATTTTGCAATAGCCAGTCACTGAAATAAAAGCTAGGATACCATGAACATAAGAAGTCACATTTCCTTCTGAAAGTTGTCTGCATTTTCAACATACACATCTCAATAGCGTTAGATGTTAGAAATACACCCCTCCTTTCTTTAGGTATCTTCTATGCTTGTACAAAATGAAAGTACTGTGAAAATCAACAGTCACCTTCACTAACCAGCATTTTCCCCATGTATTTGTATACTTGCCCGTGGTATCTGGAAAAAAAGGATTCCAACAACATGAACAAAGCTGAAAATACAACTAGCAAGGAAATACGCACACACAACAAAAGACAGTACTGTTTGGTACATTTGTTACTGCTCTAAAGTTCTTCCTGGAAAGCCTCAAGTACTACACGTGAAAAGGACAGTAGCAAGAAAAAAGCTCTCAAAGACAAATATTCATCAACTTCTGCTTCCAATATTCAAAAGCATCCTATGAGAGCTCTGAAATTAAAAAACAGTACAAGTCCATAGCATCTGTTTGACTGTCCCTCTCTACTTTATTTCACACAAAGGGATTATGTGAGACATTATTAACCTACTTTGTCATTACTATGAAGAGTCGTGTACATTGCAATATCATGGGCAGAATTTAACACGAAACAACATGAAGCTATTTTATCACAGGAGCTCCGAGTTAACATTTTTCCTAGGGGGAAAAAAAAAAAGTTGGAAAACTTCCAGCTAGAACAGAGGTAAACCCTGCTCTGAGTGGGAATTCAGACCAGATTAATTTGCTGAGGTCCCTCCCAACCTGAATTATTATAGTATTCTGGAAGTACCCTCCTGTTGTCTTCTTCCCTTTAAAAATGTGAATTCTTGAGACTACTTCTTGAGCATTTACCTTCTCATACATGCTTTTACGGAATTCCAAGTCCTCAATGAGACTCTGACAACGGTTTTCGAGATCCACCTTCTGTAAAGTTTCGCTTGCAAGCTGTTCTCTGGCAGCAGCTGAAGAAACCTCAAGCTTTAAGAAAAAGAAATAAAACAATCAACAAAACACTGATTATGTAGCAGAACTCACATAACACAATGACCTCAGCTACCTAGAGTACAGCTAACTACATGTTATGGTTGAACTTGATAATCAAATCCAGTATTTACAGCACTAATGTCTACCCCCTCCCCCCCCACTTTTTGCAATCACTGGCACAAGTGAGTTTCAGATATTTCACATTGGTAACTAGCATTAAAATGCTACTTGTCAATTTTGCTTACAAAACTTCACTTTTTCTATACAACAAATACCAGTCTCCTGGTCTCCTCAACTCATTCTCTTGCGGTGGTGTTGCTTAAGATCACAAATCATGTGTTTCGAAAACTAGCATAAGACTTTTTTTTCTTCCTCTTTGTTCTATCAGATGCCCAGAAGATGAAGAACCACAGGCATAACCAAAAGGAGGGCAGAGAGAATGACAAACCTTTACCTGTCAGTTATTCATTATCTTTATTTGTGAAGTCAGTCTCTCCCCCAAAGCAGTTCTACAATTTGTCAAGTTTATTTTGACTCTTGACCTGCTTTCTTCAACAGAAGTACCATCTCTTGCAATTGCAGAGTCTGCAATTTTAAAAGCACTCTATTCCACCATTCATGTTATTAATAAACTGAACAGTGCTGGACACAGAAACCTACTCAGTACTATTTCCAATGTTGACAGTAAACCACAATTTGTTCTAGTTGTGACTAGCTAACAGGTTTGCATCCATTTTTTGCCTACAAAGTTGCATGTTACCAGAATGACAGCTCTTACTATAGATGTATTATATATAAAAACACCTAATTTGCTGACAGAAGCTTGAGGGTTAAATATTTCTTCTTTTTACCTGCATAATTTGATTTTTTAAATTCTCAATTTCTCCCTCCAGACTTTTCTTATCACCAAGGGCTGTGGCCAGTGCAGCTTCTTTAGAGTTGAGGGCTGCTTCATGCCCTTGAAGTTTGACTTGGATTCCTTGAAGATCAGATTCCCTTTTTGCATAGCTAGAATAAATCAGAGAAAGTGGTAAGAAAGCCTGGAAATGCCCCCCAAAATAGACTGCTGACTAATAAAACAAGGTGCCATCTGAATCTTAAAATTGAGACACGCAACAAAAAAAAATTTTGCCTTGGCTTAATTTACTGAAATTTAAATCAACTCCTTAGTTCTGCTTTCTCATCTGATACAACAGTAGCTTAATATTTTGCTTGGCCTGTAGAAAGCTAAATATAGGGGAAACTCATAGTGTCAAACAAGTCTGAGAGGCATACACAGAAAAGGGGTAACTATGTTTGTCAAAGGCACCTCTTGTTTTCTCTTTAGCTAGACTCTGTAAAAATGTCCTACCTTCACCAGAATCTTAAAAGGAAGAAATAAGTTCTCCCATTAGAAGGGTCTTCCACAGGGTGGAAACAAATCATCTTTATTACCTTTTATCCATGCAGGAACTTGTACAGATCCACTGTGTCTGGGCTGCAAATAGCCCATTTCCAATTAACAGACAAAGTTCTCCATGAAAATTGATGCTCACTATGTATAAACCAGTCCTCCATAAACAGAAGCTGTACCATAGTGAACTGTTTTGCAGCAACTTTCTAATCATACATAACGGAAAAGTTCCACAGATCTGAGGAAAGGTACCCAAATCCTGTCCATACAATAGTCTGTGCCATCACTACAACTGCAATGGTGCAGAGGTACAAGTGTCTTTTTCTTTACAAAAGCAAACACACAAGCTTTTCAAATTACCACTCAAATTAGTTTTAGTGTCTACCCAAGTGGTCAAACAGTTTATAGGGGTTTATTTCCTAAAACAGCATATGCAAACAAAGTTAAATGAGAAAAGTAAAGTAATGCCACAAAACCCTACACTCTTCAGCCTAAATTAATCATTCACCAATGATGCTACAACGAGGTACTATCAAAAATAGCAGAAAAGAAAACCATACTTCAGAATCAAAATGACTGTTGACCTTTAGATGGTACAAGCAGCTGTGTTTAAATGTGTAACACAAGTTCTCCCACCTTGATTATTTGTCTGTCTGGGATACCCACATTCCTCTAGCAAGGGCAGTAGCATATAGAAGTTTTAGACGTTTATAATCAAACTACGAACATTTTACAGGAATGGACAGATTCAGGTTCAATAAGACAACAGCTAGGACATTCCTCAGGTTTCACAATTCTCTTTGAAGAAGTGAAAAAAAATCAGAATTCACAACACTTAACTGAAGAGACTAAAAATTGGATAGATTCTTAAGAATAAGATTCAAAAGTGTTAAAGCATTAAGACGTTCACCGCTTTTTTAAATCACCATACTGCTTATAAGAAACAACAGCATTGCTTCTCAGCAAAATGAGACTAATATAAAATTGACACACAATTTTAAAAGGAGAGACTCTCAAATTTAGAAGATGCTTTTCCAAGATCACATGCAAGCATATGCAATTAACATCATGCTCAAGAGAGGTGTGCACAACGGCTTGCAGAAAAACATTTGCAGAAATAAAATTAGTGTTTGGATGTTTCAGCGCTAGAGCCACAAGATGGCAGGCTTTAGGTAACAAACTTCACACTAACTAATCCCACTGTCATCGAGTTACACCACACTCACCAAAGTGGCAAACTGCAAGAGCCTGCAACACACACAGACTCTCTTACACTCAATCTTTTTTTTTTTTTTTTTCCTTTTCTTTTGATTTCTGCTGCTCAACGCTGTCCAGCCCCTCCATGGCATTTTACATACCACTTCTGAGACGCAACAGGTCAGACAAAAGCACAGAATTTCCGTTTTGGCCACATGGGTTCCTAATTCCAGCTCTCTGTGCTATTCACTGGAGGCCTCTGTCCTGCCCCTTCCCTCCTACCCAGGCTTCTGGGAACTTCAGCACCCAAGGAAGGTGTACAGCAGAAAAGGAAAAAGAGGGAAGGAAAAGTGTCTTGCTATGGTACACCTGTAATAAAAATCTCTCCATCACCTAATGGGATGTATGAAGGCCCACATCAGGCCTTTGTTGTTTGATCACTGCTGGAGAAAGCTTTATTCAAAACATGGAGAAACTGTTTCACTCAGGCTCTCTCACAAGGCTTCACACTACAGCCAACCCTTTGAAGTTGAATCCTGAAACTAGAAAGTCTCACATACATGGGGCCATAGTGTGCAACCCCCCACTCTACCCTGAATTATCCTGGACTCCGAAACAGGAAGACTCACCACATACCTTAAAAATTTGTTTTTTTACATTTTTTTTAATGCAAATACGTCTACCAATTACAAACTGCTAGACAGCTGAGAAGAGAGCTCTTGCAATTGGGGTGGCAGAGAAAAAGATGTATAATATGGACTAGCAACAACAATGCGACTAAAACCCAATACACTACATGTACCACTAAATTAGATGTTACCAGTTACATCAGCCCAAAGTACTTTCCTTGCTTTTTTGCAACAAGATTGGGGGGGGGAAGAACTAAAATTAAGCGCTGTTAGTTGTTAATGTTATGAGTTGTCCAGCTGTGAGACAGCTCATCCGAACACATTCTCAGAAAGAAAACACAAACTGGATCTCAACACTTCAAACGCTGAAAACCATATGAAATCTCATTAACTCAGCAGTGTCATCCCAGCCCTAAAGGAATATGGCAAAGAAGTGAAACAAGATCAGAAAAGCCTCTGTGAATTATAAAAACAAACACCAAATGTATATAACATATACATCACCCTTACACCTAGCAATTTTTACCAGGAAGAACTTCAACTTCTCAACAATAGCCAGCTTCTTCCTCCACAGAAAGTCAAAGGTACATCTCAAAAGAAGAAATAAAAGAACTCCTTCCTGTTGTAGTGTTCAGAAATTAGCCAGAACTGTACTCCTTCAAGCAGTTTGGCTCATGAAAGAGAAACAAAAGCAAACAAGTAATTGCTGACTTGCATTTTCTTCAAAGCAGCAGCCTGTTTCTCTACTTTGACTTCAAAGTGTGTGGATCTTATAATCTGTGGAATTGTAATTTATTTTAAAATAGTGTAGAACTAGGACCTGCCCCAAAACAGCCAGTTCCCACTCATTTTCGCTGTACTTCAGGGAAAACTTGGACTTCAGAACTTTAAGCCACAACATTTAACTCACATAGACACTAGGGAGTGTAAAGAAGTCAGTCTCACTCCTTCTACCAGGACAGCTCCCACTAACAGAGCTGCAGCCACCTATACTTTAGAAATGGCTCAGCACACACCACAACAAAATAATGTCATCTGTTTTCTCCAATACACTGCAAACACTCAAGCAACCTGACAGCAGTAAGCATTCCACAGTGCCACTATCAGGAGTGGAAATAACCCTGGCAGCTACAGTACCTCTGCCCAACTCATATTTAAACAAGCTAATTTCTCATACCAGATGCAGTCTAGCTGAGGCACAGATTTCTAAGCAGGTTAATTTCCTCACCATTCCCAAAACTTAATAACTTGTAAAGCAGAGTAAATCAACTCAAACACAACTATAAGGTACTGTGGTTAAGTTGTGTCTGGTTACCTGCACTAGCTCATTTAAAGCTAATTCAAAGCTCTCAAATAGAGATTCCAAGGGGCAATCGGTGCTTTGGTGAGATTACCTGGACCACTTGGTTTGCAGCTCAGTAAAATAGACAAGTCACTGAATAGCTCACTGGAAGAGGCAGGCTCCCTTTCATGTCTTGCGCAATCAAACCTTCTGCCCTCAGCCCCGAGGTTCACAGAATAACCTCGAATTTCCTGTAATCTCCTTAAATTTCTTGCTAAATTAGTAGAAAAGCCATGCAGGAAACAAGAAAAATAGTAATTTCCTACCAGTTTAGTAAGTTGAATTGGCCTTTAGGAGCCAGGAGAACCACATGCCTAATGCAAAGTAAGCAGGAAGACTGCTCCTTTCAGTCAGTAGCTAGATCTCAGGTGTAATTTAAAGTTCCTCTGAAACTGATCCAGTGCAAAATGCCACCACCCTACAGGATTTTTCTCACCTCCTACACCCACCACTAAAAGTCAGATCACAAAGCTAAACATTACCAACTGTAACCAAACCCTCTTCAAAAAACATTGGGTTTCAACCAACTCATGACATAGCTACATAAGTGCTGCAATTCATGATAATGCATTTACATCCATATAAAATTACAGGGTACTGCACATTGAGCTGGCTTTCCACTCCAGCTGTAGAGAAATATGAAAATCAAAAACCAAACCATGCTGATTAATACTTTATGTTTCGTTTAGCTAGCAGTCAGTTTTCTATGTTTTTCCCCCTACAGCAGACAAAACAGTAAGGCTGTGTTTTGCAAGGAAGTGATTTACAATGACATAAGAAACATCTTTCTAAAAGCATTCAAGTTCTTGTATATAGATCAACATGACAATAAGAGTAATTAGACAAGCTTGCCTTTCCTGTAAATAAATAAGTGTAACTCAGTTTCAACTTGTCTCATGTCACTCATTTTATTTAAGTGGAGACAGTTGGTCAGTGTTTGAAATCAACACTAAATATACATCCTCTCTAGCCACTTATTACTCAATAGTGACCCTTCTGGAGGAGCTCAAACATGTGAATCCCACTACTCTGACCAGCAATCTAGGCAGAACTTTACACATGCAGTGTATACACATCAAGCTAGTGCCTGTTACCGTGTTATCATTATGTGTCCACATGTTTGAGACCACCTTTAACGCTACAGCAAATCATTCCTTGCATTGTTATGTCCTACACTGCATGAAAGAAACTCTTAGATAAGTTATACTCTTACATTTCAATTGCTTAAATTATTGTGCCACAAGTTAATCACTCCCCTCCTTACTTCTCTGGGTGCTCTCTCTATGGTACACATCAGACCAGTAACAGATTTCAGGTCCAAGCTCAGCAGTTCCCCAGCCACCAACATTCACCTCACTTCCTGAGATCACCTACAATAACAAAAATATATTTTGAAAAGTTTTAAGTCAGCTTCCTTGAAACAGTTCCTCCAGCTCATTACAG